AAATTGATGCCAAGAGCTAGGAAATAAAAAAGCAAAGAAAAAGAAAGACGACTGAGCAAGGCGACTAGAAATATAATGCCACAGTGAGGCTTTCACTTCCAGATTACAAATTGAAATGCATCTTCAGCTGTGAGTGATTAGAAGTTATTACCAGTTGACACCTGTCCAGTGGCCTGTGTGAAGTGAGTCAGAGGCCTCATTCTGGTCCTAGTGCAAGTATTAAGCTTGGGTTCTACCATAACCCCCAAATCCTCCCTAATAGTCTTATGCATACTGTATTTGTTCATCTGTTCCCCACCCCACAACCCCCCATGCCTATACCACCTTGCATTTGTACTTGTTAAATTTTAGTTTGCGATCTCTAATCCAGTTCTCCAATTTATCAAGACCTCTCTGAATTTTCATCTTGCCAGTGGATTCTAGTGGATCAATTCCACTCAGCCTTTTTGTTGTTTGCATCTAAGTCATTAATTAATATGTAAACCATACTGTACCCAGAACAGATCCCCATGGAACTCCCCTTGAAACCTCCTGCCAGTCTAACATCTATTCTGTGGATAAAGATGACTTTTAGAGCTGTTGGTTTGGCAGCTGTCACTATGTTTATTGGAAACAAAATTGCAGGCTCCCTGCCCTCAAGTCATCCTACTGCACAGCTTTTCAGTGCATTTATGTTTTTTTCTTTAACAGGCAAGAGAGAAAGAGAGGGCTAAAAACTGTCTTTAAAAACAAAAGAAAAAAGCCCCCAAGTGGGTCTTAGGAAGGATGGGATATCAGCCTGCGCTTTGAGTTTCTTGCTCTTTGTCCATTTTGATCAGGCCATAGATTCTATTTAAAGATAACTTTTTCATATTTGTTTTCCATATCCTTGACCCTGACTGGCAAGTTGGACACTTGTATTTGCCTTGGCAAGTCCTAAGCCGCTCATCAAGGGCAGGACAAAAACACTTTTTTCTTTTTGTAAACAAGCTGTTACTTCAGTATTTTCCATGAGGATTTACACCACCATTTTGAAACCACTTTAGGAATTGAGAAGACCATTTAGAGTCTTCTTGGCTTAGTTTGCAGCATTTCACAGAGCTGTGGGATTCCACATGTAGCTGGTGCAGGGTAAAGAGGGGGAAAGGGGTTTGTGTTCCAGACAGTTAATTTGTAATTCCCATTTCTGGTCTTGATGAAGCTGGTTTTGCTTTCATTGTTGTTTGTAAGACTGTAGTGCTTAGAGGGCAAGCATGAACAGGGCACCATTGTGCATGGCACTGTACATATAGCACCTCTGCCTGCAGAATATAAAATCTAAATAAATACTAACATTGCAGGGTTGTAAAAGGAAAAGAATAATTTTGTTGCTGATCTAATGCTAATATGGCAATAACCAGGGTCTGATTCTCAGTAAGTATTTCTAGAGCTTCATCTATCACCAGGGCTAGGGACAGAAGTTACACATAAACTGATTTAGGTCTTCAGGAATTGGTTTAAGCCTGTAATAGAACAGAAGCTCAGTGCACATAAACCCAGTTTCAAAATGGCTGAAACTGGTTTAAGATAAACCTGGATGAATGTAGTATCAGACTTAACTGATTTGCATCAAACTGGTTTATGAAACATCTGTCCGAGACCCCTTCCTGGTTCAAGTTGAATCAGAGTCCCCCAGCATCCTAGCATAGGCTGTGTGTTCACTTCCTCTTCCTGCTGCCCCTGAGGTCTCTGGGATTTGCAGACAAGACCCACAGCAGCAGGATTCTGCAGCGTTGTTCATCACTTTTTCTTCCTGCTTCCAGGTGCCTCTGAGATTTGTAGTCCATGATCACAGCCAGCAAGACTCTGCAGGGTTGTGCCTTTCTGTTCAATGCATGCTCCCTTCTGAGAGAGGACTATTCTTGTTCAGGCTTTTATGAATTCAGTGCCACTGCCTTTTTCCCTACCCACCCCCTCTTTAGCCTGGCAGGCACTGCACCCTTCCCCCCAGAGACCCTCCAGCTAGCTCTGGGCTGAGGCTTGGCCACACTCCCTCCACTCTAGCAGGGAAAGGGGAAAAGCCTTGGAGCTGGCAGGCTGCAAGGTGTGCTCTAGTATCCCCTAACTTCTGGCTTGAGCCACTGCAGGCATGTGCTTGCATTTCCTGAGTCAAAAGTGAATGTCTGTTTGCTTGCTTGCTGATTCAATGTCTGCAGCTTAGACTAACCTACAAAGACTGAATTGATTCAGCCCTGGGCTTTTGACTGTCTGTACTTAGCCCAGGTGATGCTCATGCTTTACAGGCTGAGCTACTGTGATGGCCTAACCTATGGGTATGGTGGCTGTTGGTCCTGTTTATACTGGACTGGCCTGTTTTTAAACCCTTTGTCCCCTATCTGTTTCTGAATGAGGAATGGCCTACAAAAAGTCCTGTTTTTTAGTTCATTGATGTAAATACATGCCGATCATTTGTCCTTGCAATTCTATTGGCTGTGCCTAGAGGTAGGACAGTGCACAGCCAGGAGGAGCAGGATTCCAAGCCAGCCAGGAAGGGAGGGAGGTGGCTTTTGTTGGCCCTGCCCCTTGCCACTAATTGGCCAAGGATACATTAATTTTGTTCTTACAGTCAGGGGGACTTGGCATGGTAGTTTACCCTAGGCATTTAGTTGGGACAAGCAAAGAACTCTCCAAGTTTTGAATTAATTTCTAGCTGGCTTAACAGTGAAAGCAATCCTGTCATTCTAGCCCAGTGGTTATCAACAGTTTTAGACTTGAATCATCCCTCAGGAAATGCCAGCTCTTCGTTTGCACTCTTTTTCATTACGGAAAAATAATAGAGCATTTCTTCTGTGACAAAGAACTTCGACCACACTAGGTCACAACATTTTTAACCCTATTGATTCCTATCTAAAACATATGGGTTTATCTTGTGAATCATATTTGCACACCTACTAGTGCTAACGTTGTGTGGCAGCCTCCAGCTACACAGTGTCACCCTTGGTACCCCAGGCTGCCACAGACCGTCTAAGGTTTAATGTTGCTTTCTCCCTTAAAGGCCTACTCCAAGGCATGATTCCTAAAGTAACCTACTGGCATAAGTTCTCCGCAGTGAATGGAATGAGTATGAACCACACATTGCGAATGGCTATTGGTCAAAAAATATCTACATCTTCACTTTAAATTTTTTGGGGGAAAAATCTAAAAGTCATCATATTTGAACTTCAAAAACGAAGCTTGGGAACAAAATATTTTTATTTGGGTATAATTTAATGTTATTTAATGTTCTGTCTGACTTGAAGCTAACATGATTTAACTACCTTCTCCTTTTTTTGCTAATTAACTTGCTTTTCCACATGTCTATTTGCAACTTTTAGTAAGGATGCCTGTTAAAGGGAGCAGACCAATTTGATAAGTAGAATTGATCAAACAGAAGTATTTGAAGTAAAAGTCTTTAAACCTTCACCCAGACTTATTGTACTTCTACTGTTTCTGCATGTTCTATTGTGGGTTTTCCCTTTCATTTATGCCACTGTTTGATGCTGAACTGTTTTGGAAAAAATGCAAAGGGCACTTGCATGTATCAAGCCTGAGCAGTTCTTCACAGAATCACCACAAATGAGATTAAGTCAGCTAGATTTGCATAGAAGCACAGGCATGTATGCAGCCTGCACTTGGAGGATGCATACAGTTTGTGTATGCAGACAGGTGCGCTTACAGACTTTTGCGTTTTATGTAAAGTATTGCATTCTTTGTTCTGACAACTGATTTACTATATGGACCCAGCTATAAATTGGTATGGCTCCTAGGACTTCAGATTCCTTGGGGATCCTGTGAAAACATTAACTTTGTTTTCCAGGCTGGGTTTCCAGGATACGTCTAATGATCTTGGCCTAGGACCAAAGTAAATATACAATTGCATCTTACTACACAAAATAATATATGTTTTTTATGCCAATTACTGGCTGGCTTGTAAAACTGTTAAAACACTGATGAAGAAACAAATTTGTATATATTTTTGTTTTGTATTGTTTGCTGCAGTTGGTTGAATCATGCTATTGATTATCCTCAGATGTTTGAAGAACAACTGTTTTTTCATAATGTTGTTCACAAATTCATAGTTTGTACTAAAGGTGCATTGTCTACTATTCCTAATTATGTATTTCCTTATAACAGTACGTCATGCAGTCAATAAGGAAAAAAGATTATAAGGAGTGTCAGTAGTATGCTGTGGTTCAGAGCTGTTCAACTCTGGCATGGCAAAGGACCATGCGTGGCCCCAACATGCACCCCCCAGGCTGCACATTGTGCAGGCCACATGCTGCAGAGGGCAGCCCCGTGGGATCCCTCTATAATGTGTGGACTATACAAGTGGCATGAAGACCCCTAGGCTGCATGAGTGGTACTTGGCCCTCTGCCCCTCTGGGTAGTGCCGGCAGCACATAACCCCATGCCACATGCTCCTTTCCCTTTGCTTTACCCCTCCTCCATTGCACAATAGTGGAAAAGGTGACTGCAAAAGCCATGGGCCACATGTTAACCACTCATGTCACATGCAGCCAATACACTGCCAGTTGGGCAGCCATGCTCTAATTCATACCATACAATGACTAACAAATAGCCACAGCAGAAAATTCCTGAAACATGCACTGAAATGTATCAATCTAAAACACTAGAGGGATATTTAAAAATATCAAGATTTGCTTTCACGTACAGCAGTTGGTCTGTAAATGACTCAGTAACCCACCAACTGCCGAATTCCACTGAATTGTTAGTTCCCCAACAGCTCTCACGCAGTGTTCACAACCTTTGTGGAGTGGCAGGCCACCTTTAACTGAAAAAGACTACAAAGGTCTGGTATGATCCACAGCCCATATAGACTTACCATGTCCTGGCAGACCACACTTTGGGAACCACTGTTGTACAGGATAGCCCACCAGTTAAATAGATTCCTCCCTTTTCAATTAGACTAGTGATTACATAAACTATATTAAAAGCATATTCAAGTTCAACCACGTGAAATTTTGTTTGCTTTCTCATTACAGATCTGGGACATGAGTGATGATGAAACAGTTTGAAAGCCAAGTGAATGAAGTGGAAGATGACCTACTTAGATCTGTATTGCTGTCTTTTATCTGTCACTTGATTTCTTATATATTCTGACAGTTAAAAATATAACTCTCATTTTTTATATGAATGGAACATTATCTTAACCTGAAAAGCAGTTCTGCTGTGGGTGCGAGTCTCCTCGTATTTCCATATTTATTGTATGCAGGACCTAACTAGAGCAACATAGTTATATTTAAATGCCCAGTTTCTATTTTTTCAGTTACTAAATATAGCTGGCATACATTTAGCCACTTAAATAACTCCCAGTGTTTTTTCATTTGTCCATTTTCATTGTATCATCAATAGACCTGCCTAAATAATATTGTCTACTTTTCTTCCAAAGAAGTAGGGTTACTTTATAAATAGTTAATATTCAGATTATGATAATATTTTTTTACAGCAGGTAATTAAATTACATTGATATTTAAAGGAGCTGGGGTAGAAGATGAGGTGGGTGAATAATTAAAAATCCACCTACACCAATTTTTTTACTGTCACAGATGGTGTTTATAACATGCCCCTTATCACATGATAATACCAGGGTTTCTGTCTGTACAGATGGGAGCAATGGTTTTAAATCTTATTAAAGCTCTGTTAAGACCAGTACTTTAGCATGTTTCTGCACTGTGGATAAAACATTGTTTGAGCCTTACCTGGCAAGGAAGAACAGGGTTGGGGATTCAGACATTTATAGAGGGAGCCATTACATAATAACTCTTTTAGAGAAGTGTCTTTGGCTTGATAAAAGCTGTAGAAAGAGTTTCTCTAACTCTTGTCATTCTTAGATACTGTCATGCAGTACTTCCTTGGGCCTCAATAAAGCCCTAATCTCAAATCTGCTTGGTGAGTCTTTCAGTTTTGTACTTTGTAGGACACAGAAGGGCTCCACAGATGACTAGTTCTGCACAGAACATCACTGGAAAACCACTGAGAAAAGTGATAGTTGTGAAAAACAGAATTTTAAAACGCCAAAATATGTTACTATCCCAAATCAAATCTATCATTTTTCATCTTGGTCTAAGTAAATAATAATAACAATAACAACATTATTTGCCATATTAAGTCTAGTTTTTGCACTGATCCACGCATTGCTTTGGATTTGTCCAACCATTCTTTCCTCAGTGTATCTGGAAAGTCAGTATATCCAATAATTACGTCATCTTCCTTCAGTTAAGATAGAATCCTTGGTTATGTAAGTCACATCAACTTGTTTGCCAGCTAAGCTGATATATCCTCTGGTATTCCATAGAAATAGAAGCTCTATAAGAGCTACTTAGGGCAGAGTGCAATCCCCACTCATGCATTATGGTTTCGAATGAAGATGTTTATAAAGTGTTCTCTTGTTTGTACCACTATGAAAAATCTCCACGTTCAAGTTTACATTTTTTCCCAAGTGACCATAAAGGAATGTCTCATCTAGGTAGCTCCAATGTCATATAAATATATTCTTATAATCTAGTTAGAAAGAAGAGTCCTTAAAATTAGTCTTAAATATATTTTTGAAAAAGGAAGATTAATGATGAAATAGAATCTGACATCTTGATGGTCTAAACCAGTAAGATTGGGAAAATTCACTGTGCATTTGTATACATGGAAAATGATCTTTCAGTGGACAAACAAAATACATTTAAGAAATAAGGCTAAGACACCTGATTTCTCCTGCATTCTAACCATTCTGAATTTTTATTTTGTTCATACCATTATCAAAGGATTTTATTTTATTCATTATCAGAGAAATTAATTGTATAACGCCTCAATACTATGGCAGCTGTCAGAGACCAGCCTATATATCTTTCATAGTTACTGAGATAGTGACATGCAAAAATCTATTTTGCAGTTGTGCCATTTTAATAATCTGAAACTTGAAAAATGGCTCCTGTGCCCCAGAGTTTACTAACATGGAAAAGTCTTTTGGATATATAAAACCTTGTCCAAATTACAGTTGTACTGTATTCTTACAAATCTACGGTTGTACTGTATTCTTACAAATCTCCGAATCTCCCGGAATCAATTCAGAGGGTTCTGATTTGATTCAGAGAGATTAGAGGTTCTGGTTCTGATTCTATTTGGATTCAGAGATTTGGCCACCAAATCAGGCCAAGTCTCCACCAGATTGAATCAGTGACCGAGGCTTCACACAGCCCTAGTAAGTATCCATTTAACTACCACAGTATGCAAGATCTAGAGTAGGGGTGTGCAAAGCTTCAGTTGCTGATTTGATTCAGAGAAGATTCGGCCCGATTCAGTGGCTGAATCATCAAATTGGGAGACCCATTAAAAGCTCTGAATCAATTTGAAGTATCTGAATTAATTCAGAAAAGATTTGGTGATTCAGAAGGCAGTTTTGTGGGGAGACAGAAACAGAGGAGCAGGGCAAAGATGGCTCTGATATTGACATCTGTAGCTGGCCAGTGACCGTGACTGTGACCTTTCCCTGAGTTCCCTCCCAATCACAGTGCTCTGGGGGAGCGACATAGAGACAGCATATAAGGCCCTATGTGAACCCTTTCTCTGCCAGAGGTGCCAGACCTCACCATCTGGCAGATAGTGTGGAGGCCTTTGTGACTACCTATTTTGCCGAGGACCTGGAGATGCTGCAATGCGACCCCTTCGCCTGTTGGGCAACCCACAACCAGATGTGGCAGGACATGGCCGCAGTTGCCTGGGAACACCTTTCCTGTCCACAGACCAGTGTACCAAGCGGGCAGGTGTTCAACATTGCTGGTGATGTAGTGACACCTCACTGCACCTCCTTGGATCCTGGTTTGGTGGAGCAGCTGGTGTTCCTGAAGGTGAACCTCCCACTGCTGGGGTTCCCCAAGCTCCACCTGCAGATGGAGTGAGTGCCACCCTCCTCACCCCACACCCATTTATTTTTGTTAGTTGCTTTCACAACCATTTAAAGCCAGGACAAACTTGGAGGTATGGACTGGGGCTATGGGGAAGGAGGCAGCCCTAGGTCCTGGGCATGACCTAAAACTGGAATGGTGATGGTTCTGTTGTGGGGTGTAGTAATTGTGGGGGTACTGGAGATATGTTGGCAGATTTTGCATTTCTTGTCATGGCATGGTCTGGATCCATTCAGTGTATTTTGGGCTGTAGGAAGTTTGCTTCTGGTGATGAAGTTAGTGAGGTTCAGTGCTCGTTTGAATTTACAATACACTTTTCACAGATGAGCCTATGAACTTCAAATCATCAACCTTCTATGAGACACGATACAAAAACTCACGGACTCAGTATAGACATTGGATTTGTGACACACTATAATCTGCCTGACACATGACTCCCCAGGTACCTCTCCACTTTTACCTGCTACATCCCCCTTCCCTCCCCACCTGCCTGTCTCTTACCCCCTGATGCCTCAATTTAGATTTTCACTGACTGGCCTTCTTGCTTGTAGCCCAGCCTCTGGCTTCTTTACTATTCATTTCATCCAGGAAGAGCGTACACACCAACTACAGATGCTTTCTCAGCCTGATGAAGGGTTTTTAAACCCAAAAGCTTGGCAAGATATATATTTCAGTTGGTCTAATAAAAGATATTGTATTTACTCAAAGAACCTTGCCTGTCTGCTCCTTCAACCAATACAGCTACAACCAGAAACCCAGTTAACACACACAAGTGATAAGAGTTTTGCTTTCAACAGTTTGAGGTGCACTTTCATAAAAGCTCCTGCACCTAAGTTCTTGTCACTTGGCAGGCTTCATGCCCTCAGAAGGGGTTACCATCCCCGCTACTTTCATTCCACTCTGCCTTACAACACAAGTGATATGAGTTTTGCTTTCAACAGTTTGAGGTGTACTTTCACTGAAACCCCTGCATCTATCTCCTTGAAAATTGGCAGGCTTCATGCCCTCAAAAGTGACTACCACCCCTGCTGTTTTCATCCAATTCTGCAAAAAAATGACAAAGTTATGGGTATTTTAGTGATTCCTCATTACAGTCTATGGCTGAATCACACCGAATCAGTGCCAAATATTTTGAATCCGATTCGACCAAATCCATTCAGGACAGTGATCCGAATCACTAAATCGAATCCCTATCTTCTGAACTGGCCGAATCTGAATCAAATACTGGTTGCTTCACACAGGCCTCATCTAGAGGTCCAGAACTCAGGGCTAATATAATGTTTTGTTACCTCTGTAATTTCAGTAACATACAACTGTGTCAGACTGAGCTGCTTCCTGTACATATGCTGCCCATATTTGCCCAATGTTCAGAAACACTTTAGTTTGATTTGGAAAAACTTACGTTGTCTAACTTTATTGTTTTTTCTTTCTCCATGCAAACCATAATTGTTATTTTCCTTCTAAAAAGGGGTGTAAGCATTTATTGAGAGGGAAACAGTGAAAATATATGTCCAAATGAATGAAAAAAATACATATTAAAGCAGCCTAAACAGCTGAAAACTTGTATTTACTTATTTGTACACATAAATGGTAGGCTTTGACATAGCTCTTCATCTGTTGGTATTGCTGTTTAATGGAGGAAGTTGAAACTTGAGCTTCATGAGGAGTTTGAGGGTTAACTTTATTTTTGCTGACTTGAGCTCCCAGGCATCAATAAAAGGGCCAAGCTCATCCCTTTTTCTGGCACAGTAACATCTGCCACTGCTGTAAGGGCACTTTCCCAATCTGGCTGGGAGGGTGGAATGTGGCTTCTTTTGAGGCTGCTTTTGTTACTTCTTCATAAAACTTCTAACGTAAATAGAGTGAATTAATGAGGAGGTGCAGTCAGCACCCTCTTTCACAGAGGGCAACTGTGCTACCTGCACAATGCATCTGGGGTCCAATTTAATACTTTTGGAACTCCACTGGATTTTCATCCGATGTAAATTGGGTCCTTGATGGACTGATAGGGCACAGAACGGTAGCCAAGATCTCACTTTACAACATCAACCATCTATCTATGATTCTTTGTTGGTATCATCACCTCATTATATTTGGTGGGTGCAATCAAAATCCTGTACTGACCTAATCACACATTCATGAAAAGAGAATGTTATAGTCTCTGTTTCCAAGTTGATTGATGTTTTTTAGGGCCTGAACACACAACACATTTACACTGGAATTATCTGCATTGGCATTGTACACCACTGTAAATTGCAGAAACAGCTGATGCCTGTACCAGTGTAACTTGTATTGTATTTTTAATGCATATTTTTCCTGGGATAACTTTAGTCTGGATTCAAGGCACCTGCATCAGTGCAGAGGTCTCTGCTATGTCTCTGCTCTGTTTACACTGGTGTAAAGGCTGGTTTCACTTGTATAAATACATTTTGCCCAAGCCAGATTATGACTAACCTGTGCCCATTAAGTAACTGAGTGTTGTAATCCAAGTTTCATGATTTACTGTTTAGGGAAATTCACCCAAGGCAGTAGAATTTGCCCTATGGTGGAGAGGTAGCTCAAGTTCCTTCACAGCACTGAAACCCTACATTCAGACTTACAAGTCAACACAGTTGTAATGGATGTATGGGCATGTGAAAACTCTTAGCACCATGGAAAATCCATACATAATACAGCAAGTGTTAGTCTCCTAAGGTAGAAATGATTCCTCAAGAATTTTTCATGCCTGGACAGAGGCTGTAAAACTGGCACTTAATTCCCCTAGTCTCTTCTTTGTAATTAGTGTCAGCTCTCTTTAGTGACAAAGCTGAGCGTTGACTCTAGGGAGCTCTGCAGGTCCAAACCAATGGCAGAGTGAGTATCCATTTAATTCGTTTAATAAGATTCCAGTTTAAAGGCCAGGTTCTTTCCACAGTGACACCTATGCAGCTCATTTGAGCTCTGGAGTCACACAGTTGTCATGAGGGCCATCTGCAGGCAAGAGGATCACTCAGATGTAACCAAGGGCAGATTTTGAAACCAACGGAACTGCCCAAGTGTGACCAAAAGTAGAATTTGGTTTACAGAAAGTCATACGTGCAGTAAATTCTGTGACAGTCTTTGAGATGCCAGGGCATCTGAGATGTAGGGTTGCTGATCAAAAAGAACTCTGAGTAGATTTGATATAGAATCCTGGAGATCCATGAAGACTGCTCAATGGTTCAATAACCCTTTTTACATTGACATTTTTCAGGCTATAACCACATTTGCAGAGTTGAGAGAGAATCCTAATTTAGCTTCTGCTCGTTGTGGGGTAAGAGGGAAAGTGTGTGTTCTTTGAAACGAAGGCATGTCACAAACTCAGAATTAATTGTTCTTTTGTTCTACCTATTTAAAATAGATGCTTTTATTCTACAAAGAGAGAAAGTCCAGACCATTCTCAGTTACAGGGCATAAACACTGTGAGGTTATTTTTCTTGCTATGATATCCACTTTTTAAAATCCAACTTTTCTAATAACAATTTAGTATTTAGCTTAGAGACAAATAAGCAACTATGGTCCAAAGACAGCAAATAAAACATTTAGAGTATAATAAACCTTAGTAGACTTGCTTAAATAAATGCAGCCTCCAAGACTTCCCCAGCCTATTACAAATATTTGACATAGGTTCCTTAAGTCTTCTCTCTCTGTAATATTATTCTATCTTGCCCCCCCCCATTTCATCAGAGATGATTTTTGCCTCATAGTGTTCTTGCCAATTGGTAAAGAAACACTCCTCTTGGAGGATTTTTGCACCTTCCTCTGAAGCATTGGCCAGGGTTGGAGGTTGAGGACTGGACTAGATGGACATTAGGTCTGATTCAGTTTAGCAATTTCTACAT